AGTCGCTTGTGCGCTGTCCGACTAAACGGGACAGTAAGGTTTCGGAAGGATAAGGACACTTGCCGTCGCCTCTTCGTCATATCTGTCACATTGCCATCAGCCACTGGACGTAGGAAAGACACCGTAAGAAAGCCTCTTAGGGTTTTACTTAATGATAATAAGGCGAAGAATATATTTCAGGAACAACTAGAAAGACAGTTAGGTGACCATTTAAGCGATTCCCATCCGGAAGCCGGATGGAATGATATCAAAAAGGCTGTGGAAACAGCAGTGATATCTGCTAGTAAGGTAAACCATAAAGCTAGAGTGAAGCCGTGGATTTCAGTCGAATCCACCGAACTGATGGATGCTCGAAAACGCATCCCACTTGACTCTGAACATGATGAAGATCGTAGTTAGCTTAAGCTCGTGAAGAGCAGACTCGAGAAAACCAGTCTGGTTTTCGACCAGGACGTGGTTGTATAAACTACATCTTCAAACTACGACAGGTACTGGAACACAGACACACATTCAGGCGTCCTACAATAGTTGTTTTCCTGCACCCTAAGGCGGCATTTGACTCAGTGGATCATGAGGTTCTGTGGCAGTGTCTGTCATTGAAAGGTGTACCGAAGAAATACATTAACCTTATACAAGCACTCTACTCGAACACCACTGGTCGAGTGAGAGCTTATGGTGAACTGTCAACGGAATTCTTTACTTCAAGTGGTGTCCGTCAGGGCTGTCCACTCTCTCCATTCTTGTTTGATTTTATCATAGACATGCTTGTAGAAATAACCTTATCCTCGTCTGAATTTTCAGGAGTAGAACTTTTACCAGGACGCTCGCTTGTTGACTCAAGACATGCCGATGACATAGTTCTATTTGGTGAAGTGGCTGACAAAATGCAGAATCTTCTGACCATCAGAAGCAACATTGCGAGCATGTTCGGTATGCGGTTTTTCCTGTCGAAATGCAAAATATTGCTCCAAGACTGGGTTTCGTCGGTACTTGATCAAGTGATAGGGAGTAAAGCACTTGAGCGTGTCGACCGCATCACTTATGTTGGGAGTCATCAGTGCTGATGGTCTGGTGCCTGACGAAATCTTATCACGGATACAGAAGGCTCGATTAGCGTTTGCTAGTGAGAGTAGAAGATATTCGTAGGTTATTGGTTTTCGATCATATGTGTCTTCGAAGTATTGCTCGTATATCCTGGGACACCCGAGTGAGCAACGCTGTTATTAGGAATCGGGTGCCAGGTAAGAATGGCAGATCAATAGACAAAGTAATGAAACTTCATCAGTTGAGGTGGTTTGGACATGTGCTGCATATGCATAACCACCGACTGCCTCGAAGAGCTTTGTTTTGTAGTGTAGGAATAGGTTGGAAGAAAGCTAGGGGCGGCCAAACCAAAACATGGCAGAAATTCATGAAGTCACGAACAAGTGGACTGAGTCATGTTGGTAGGTGTCGACTACCTGGTTAGGGTCCGCGAGATGATAATAATCGATGGGTACAGATCTTGAATGAAATGGCTCAAAACCGTTTGTAATGGCGCCGGTGCATTTACGCTTTGTGTTCTCTCAAATCCTAATCTTCTGGATTCTTCAACACCTCTAGTTTCGACTTTCTGAACTTATCTCACTGAATCATATTTCTTGAACATCTTCGAATCCTAACCTCTCCGATTACTTATAATAACTTTACTACCTCTATTGCTATTGGATTTGAATTGACAATAACATCTCTGTGCTAATGTGGTATGGCAACATGAACTGATGTACTTATGTACGAAGTTCTACGTTGCATCTGACTGACTGACATTGGCGTTCAGATCTCCCATCAGAATGGTCAAAAGCCCCGCTTGACATTTCTGGAGGACCGACTGCAGCTTCTCTCAGAAATGATCTTTATTGACTTCACTGTTTTCTTTGACAAGTGTTAATATTGGGTAACGTTCGTTGTGATGACCTCTTTCTTTGCCTTGAAAGATACTTGATAATCCTGAGTTCAAGAGATTCATCTTATAAGTGCCTTCAGGGCTTCTGTGGACAGCATCAATGAAACTGCTTGTATGTGAGTCATTTTCTTCTTCACGTCCGGAGTATAACAGTAACTCTCCTTTAGGAGGTTAATTTCTTATGGGATAGAGTCTCTAAGTTCATGTTCACCTCTCCTCGTTTATCCAGGCTTGTGACTGGCATTAGCCCTGTGAGTTCTCTTTGGGGATGTACGGTAAATTTACTATTTTCAGAATGCAAATTATTATTATTACTTCTAGAAGTAGTTAGAATATTTTTAAACTATATAATAATAAGTGTCTCATCATGAAGTAAGACGAAATGTATGTATTCAACGCCTTAACATGATTCAAAATCGTTAGATCAGAACTCACCTGAATCAGTACGCAGTTTTTCAGAAGTCTGGTTACGCATCACAGATGACTTAATAAGTAAGCTTTTTGGTACTGATCTGAAAAAAATATTATCTGTTTGTTCAAAAATAAGAGGTTCAAGTGAAATTCATGATATCGTGAATGATTATTTTCCATCGAAATAAAAATAAAAGTACCTGTAAATTTTTCTTTCACGTTTTTAAGCAACATAAAAAGATAACTATGCCTTTAGGAGATGCATTGATCATTTTACCTGTGCCACACTTTAGCAGGCATCTCCGCAAAATCACATAATGTCTGTTGCAAGAAGCTCTCTTTGAAATGAAAAGAAAAATGCTGATGTTGAAACCATCTCACATGCAGCACAGTATCGTGAAAATGTAGAAAACCCTGAAGCTACTTTAAACCCAAACTAATTACAACTGCTTGTAGTGCTACCTCTCAATGAAGCCTCAGTGGCAACAATGGTCAGTAGAGTTAAGTATCTGCCGCGTATCGCAGAAATCCAATATCAGATATCTTTTTCGCAAGCTAGTACAAAGCAACTGGTTTCTTTGGCAATATTAACTACTAGCCATTCTCAAGGCATAAATCAGGCACAGCTTGTCCACGAGGAGATGATAATCCGTGTGTCAGTACGTGCTTAGCAAGTCTGTCCTTAAAGCTGCTCACTGAGAGGTCTGTGGTCACCTTGACTTGGTGAGCTTACCAAGTTGCAAAGACTCTGAACGAGAAAAAGTACGCACGAACCTGACTGTTCGCTCTTTGATGCGCAGTTTTTCGAGGACTGCTTCGAGGAGAGTGGCGATCATGTATCCGTAAGGTTTTTACGTTGGCATACTTTGCCATGCTTAATATGTTGTACGCCATAATCAGATCACGTCTGATTCGCTTGTAATTTAGAGAGAATATTCCCGAATGCTGGAGTCTATCCTTGTAAGTCTAATATTTCAACTCTATCACCAATTTCGTTGCTTTTAAGTAGACGGGGTGTGACGACGTTGTGAACCTCAAGGCATATGTCTGAAACAGAGCTAAGAATAATTCTGTGCTGGTAGCACCAAGTTGTCTTCTCATAAATTGAAGAGTTGTATTTGCTTTGACTGCGTTCCTTGTAGAGTTCGAGCCGGTATGGAGGCTTTCTGCGGTTATTAAACCGAGATCACGTTGTAAATGGTTTGTTTCATATGGGACAGGGTGTACATGACGTGACATTTCGGCTGGTTTGGTTTTAAACAGTTTTTCACTGCCCATTCTCCAATGGATGCAAGGTCCTTTTGAAACTAAGTCGAATCCTCTTTGCTGCTAATGGACATTGCATCGTTTGCGTAGATCAGTGCCGCCTAGCTAATTGTGTCTAACAGGTCGTAAATAAATATCAGGAAGAGAAGAGAACCTAAGACGTCTCCTTGTGAAACCCCCTTTGTTGAGACTCGCTAACTCGCGTGCGTTCTACGTACTATGGTTCGAAACTTTCTGTTCTCAGGGTAGTTTCTGAGCCAAGATAGGAGTGGGTCATTGAAGCCCATTTCCGCAACCTTTGCGATGAGGCGTGGAAAATGATCATGAGATGTATCTACTATGCTCACACTAGCTTGGAATAAATGTCAGAAAAACTCTCTGACATTATGGACGACTTTTCTGGGAGATCTGACTTTATTGGCTTTGATATTGTACCTAAATTCTGTTTACAGACTACTTATTTATATATGAGACACAAAGTGTGCCCTTTCAAACTTCGGGGGTTATTTAATAACGAGGATATACAGACAAGTAAGTAAGAAATTGAGGAAACGCTGATGCCCGTAGTCCGATCTCACAATGAATTTGGGGTAACAGCAAGCCGTGATCTTAAGACCACGGCTCACTGCAACTAAGACGTTCAGAACCCTATCAATTTTAAGATGATCACTTCCTAAAGTGGACACTAGCATATCCATTACAATAATCACAATCGTAGTCACGAACGTGAAAACTACAGAAATTCATAAACTTTTGAACACTGTCACCTGAAGATGCGGTTTGTGCATTTCTAATTTACTTTTTTGAAAGAAGAGTAAGTAAACTGAGAAACTTACTAGGAAAGGATTAACAAAAGCTGTAAGCCTTCTGTTCTCAATGCTCCAATGTGATATCTATTCTTGAACAAAGGCAATTTTTAAGGTCATTTTCATTGGATTCGTCAACATGATGCTATGACGATTTGCAGCACTATTTTGAATAATTGGACTCAATATTTTTAAATATTTGCAAATATCAGAGAAAAGAAACGCTTTATTGATTTTTTCCTAGTAATGAACAGTAGTGCTTTTCATTCTTTTCGAATACCCATGCGTTCAAAAAGTTTTTCTCCCAATCGGTCACGTAAGTATTATAAATATTAATAGGCTTTTATTTTAGTGAGAAAAACTGCCACAGAAAAGTATGGAAAAGCAGTAACCGGGTTTTCACTTGACGCCTCAGCGTAAGTATTTCAACTTGCTCACTGCAGTTTCGTAGGGATCTAGAAACAAATTATAGAACTATGAGGAACTTGGAGAATGAATATATTAAAAGTTTGCAACAACAGATTTATCTTTTGGAGCTCGAAAACAACTATATCCGACATCAGGCTGCTGAAATTATGGATAAACAACCTTTGATGGTTTCTGAGGCATCAAATTCCTTGAAAAAGCTCAAAGTAAGTTGTGTACGAATTATTAGGTATCATAATCTGAAGATCTCGATAACTTACTATTAGAATAGTACACTCGGTCAGTTTTTGACTGAAGTAAATAACGAGAGACCTTACATATATTATGCTTTGTGTATTGTAGGTGGTTTTGATACAGAAGGCGGTAGGCCAACAAAAATTTGAAAATATCCTAACTAAGTTAATACTCCAAAACTTTTACATGATGACTTCAGAACAAAAAACAAATATATACACAGTATATGAATTACCAGTTATTTTTGAAAAGATACGTATTCACAAATCTAAATATATATTTCCACAATGTAGGAAAGATGATTCCACGGATCTTATAATTGAGTGGGGAGATTTTATGGGCATATGACGACTTCCATATCACTCAGATAACTTTTGCAGGTTATTCTAGAGCTATCAACTGTTATATCAAACGCTTATTACAATAAAAGTTTTGATATGCTCAATATATAACTAAACCTACGATGATGGGAATTTGTAAGGTTATTTATTGAGGAATGTCTCATGAGCTACCTAATTAAGCGGACATCAAAATAAAATGGTTGAAATTCGGGATTTCGAACGGCATGATGTAGTAGTAAACTAATCTTCTTAATTTTTATTTCAACTTAGGAAATGCAAGAAATAACTGACGGTTTAAAACTTGAAATTCATCGTAAAGAGGCTCATGTGAACATCTTACAACAGAAGCTAAAACGCTGTGAGGACAGCGTACGGGAAACATTATGTGAGTTAGCTACTAAAGTATTTTGATTCAATTTTCGAATTTGCTAAGTTCTGATTTATCATAAGATTTTAATAAATTGGTATAGAGGCTATAAAATACCAAGTTTACATCATAAAGTTTTTCTTTCATTACTTCATACTCCTGATTTTTGTCGTGCAATTTCCAAGAAGTATCTTAAAAAGAGCAAGAACAAAGAATTGAGCAGAATAACTTGAGTTAATTTTGTTATTCAAGTTGTTTATAACCTGTTATAATTCTTGAAACCATGGAAATAATTTACGAGCCATTTGTAGCCTTACCTCAACTGGTATCCGAAACCAAATGACTGATAATTATGTATACGAAAGATGCTAATTTCCGATTTGACATCATCGTACTCCATCAAACTAATAATATCGTAATGAGAAGTTCAGTTGATTCTATCTTAACAGATATATTTCTTGAAATTACCAAGCTTAACGGAGTGATTAAGGTGGTACATAATGCAAGGTATATGGTGGATACTTTTATTGTATGTAATGAATGATATCAGATGAACACACCCAGAACCTTTGCAACAACACCCATAAAAACATCCGGTTTACCATGAAGCATAAGAATGAATATCAACTCCATTTACTAGATACTACCGTAAAACTAGGTCGGGTGGTTTGGCTTATCGAAGAGTTATGTGAAGTGGTGTTAACCAGGAACCCAGGTTTTGAAAACTTGTCTAATCAATTATAAGAAGGCACTTATTAGAACATTTTCACAGGATATGTACTGCCTATTCACTAATAGGAGAATTAATGAACGTCAAAGAATGCTTCAGAAACAACGGTCATCCAAAGAAATTTACTGAATAATTTTGGAAAAATAGAGACAAAAGTGCTGAAATAAACCTCGGCAGAAAAAAGAGCTATTTTTATTCAACTTGGATTCATTGACAGCGTTTCAGAGGCAATAACCAGAGTATTAAAAACCACGCTGACCAGACGTTATACTAAAACCGAGTTGATTATCCTGTGTAAACCAATATTTCATATACTCGAATCAAAGATTGTTAGGTATCTCTTTCATATTGCCAACAACTGCGCACACAAACTTACATGTATCTGTCAAAGCAGTTACATCGATGGAACAAAAGTAAAAGCCTACATTTGATTCCAAGAGTATATTCCAAAAGGCCTAAGGTCAATGAAATCAAAGACTTATGCCAGTGCTACTGTAAAACATCTCCGTAACGTGGCATCAAGATGATTGACCTAAATCTTTCAGTATAATCAGTCCACAGTCAAATTCATTCTCCTAAAGTTTGCCGAAAACAAAGCCATCAAACGCCATTAGCTCGACCCAGTGTATCTAAAAGAAAGTAATTGTAGATCTTTACTCACTTACTTACCGTGGCGACTTTATCGTCAGTTCTTTAAACAATTCATGTGATTTTTTATTTCCTATTTTTATTTATTACTGGATCACTCTCTCCAAACTCATAGCTTTGTATTCAACTAAATAATCTTAACTCATATCGTTCTTAATTGCAATTAATTTACATTCAACTGTCTCATTATATACATACGTACTTACTTACCCCTGTTTCCCCCAAGGGAGAATAGGCCGCTCAACAGTTTTCTCTAACAACTCTGTCCTTTCGACTTCTGTCCAATTTTAGTTCATTCCTCTCATATCTTTCTCTATTTCTCGTCGTAATGTGTTCCTTGGCCTTCCTCTTTTCCTTTTTCCTTGAGGGTTCCAGTTGAGGGCTTGTCTCGTGACGCAGTTAGATGCTTTTCATAGTGTGTGTCTTATCCACTTCTACAGCTTCTTCCTGATTTCCTCCTCCACTCAAATCTGATTTGTTCTCCCCCACAGTACGTTGTTGCTGATCGTGTCTGGCCAACGAATCCGAAGTATTTTACGAAGACAACTGTTAATGAACACTTGTTTCTTCTTGATGATGCCTTTCGTAGTTCTCCAAGTTTCAGCTCCATACAGTAGAACTGTCTTCACATTTGCAGTGAAAATCCTGATTTTGATTTTGGTTGAAAGTTGTTTGGAGTTCCAGATATTATTCAACTGTAGAAACGCAGCCCCTTGTTTTGCCAATCCGCGCCATCACATTTGCATCGGATCCACTTTGATTGTCGATGATGCTGTCAAGATATGTAACGATGCTAACGTCTTTCAAGGCATTTCCATCAAGAATGATTTGGTTGGTGCATGTTGTGTTGCATCGGAGAATTTTGCTTTTTCCTTCACGTATGTTGAGACCTACTGCTGCAGAGTCTGCTGCTACACTGGTCGTCTTTTCTTGCATTTGTTGTTGAGTGTGCGATAGAAGATCCAGGTCATCTGCGAAGTCCAGATCGTCCAACTGCGTCCTAGCTGTCCACTGAATACTGTGCTTCACTCCAGATGTCGACGTCTTCATAATCCAGTCGATGACCGGGAGAAAGAGAAAGGGTGAGAGTAAGCAACCTTGCCTCACACCGGTCTTCACCTCGAAAGAGTCTGTTAGCTGTCCATCGTGTACGATTTTGCAGTTGAATCCATCATAAGAATTCCATATGATGTTGAATATCTTCTCAGACACGCCGTAGTATCGAAGAAGCCTCCACAGTGTTTTGCTGTCCACGCTATCGAATGCTTTCCCGTAGTCGATGAAGTTTATGTAGAGTGGTGAATTCCATTCAATTGATTGTTCCACAATGATCCGTAATGTAGCAATTTGGTCAGTACATGATCGATCCTTACGAAATCTGGCCTGTTGATTTCGAAGTTGGGCGTCTACGAAGTCCTTCATTCTGTTCAACAATACCCTGTTGAAGACTTTGCCTGTTATTGAAAGAAGAGTGATGCCTCTGTAGTTCTCACGCTTGCTGAGATCGCCTTTCTTTGGTATTTTGATGAGGTATCCTTCTTTCCAATCTGATGGTACTTGTTCCTCATCCCAAATGTTCTTGAAGAGGATGTGAAATATTTTCGCAGTTGCTTCTACATCTGCTTTCATTGCCTCTGCTGGAATGTTGTCTGGTCCTGCTGCTTTGCCGCTCTTGATTTGTCTGATGGCCATACTGATCTCCTCAATCGTAGGTGCGCCGATATTAATTGGGAGATCCGTGGATGCTGCTTCGATGTTGGGTGTGTTCAGTGGAGCTGGTCGATTCAAGAGTTTCTGAAAGTGCTCTACCCACCTATTTTGCTGTTCTTCAGTGTTGCTGATTACTTTCCCTTCCTTGCTTTTCACTGTTCGTTCTGGTTTACGACAGTTCCCGGTGGACTTCATTGTTGTTTCGTACAACTGTCTCAAGTTTCCGTCTCTTGCAGCCTTTTCCGCCGTCATTGCTAGATCTTCCACATATTTTCGTTTGTCAGCTCTGATGCTCTTCTTCACTTCCATGTTTGCTTCCGTGTATTCAGCTTGTGCCTTAACTTTTTCTGCTCTTGTTCGGCAGACATTGATAGCTGCCTTCTTGTTCCTCCTTTCTTCAATTTTTGCAAGAGTACCAACAGAGATCCATTCCTTGTGATGGTACTTCTTGTGACCCAGAACTTCGTGACATGTTGAAGTGATTGCCTCCTTAATCCCTTTCCAATTGTTCTCCAACGTTGCTTCCTCTCCATTGAGTAGATCCTCAAAGGCGTGGAACCTATTGGTAAGGGTTATCTTGAATTCGTTGAGTTTTACGGTATCCCGAAGAAAGGCCGTATTAAACTTCTGTGATGTTGTCTGCCCCGTTGTCCAGTGCTTCTTTAGTTTCAGTTTCATTTTGGCGATCAGCAAATGGTGATCTGAAGCTATATCAGCTCCTCTCTTGGTTCTCACATCCTCCATGGTCCTTCTGAACTTTTTGTTGATACAGATATGGTCAATTTGGTTTTGAGTAGTGTGGTCCGGTGAAATCCATGTAGCTTTGTGAATGCGTTTGTGCGGGAATATTGTGCCACCGATGACCAGTTTGTTGAAGGCACATAGGTTTGCAAATCTCTCACCGTTTTCGTTTCTTTCTCCCAGTCCATGTCGTCCCACGATGTCTTCATATCCAGTGTTGTCCATTCCAACCTTGGCATTCAGGTCTCCCATAAGAATCGTCAAATCCTTTGGTGAACATTTATCGACGATTGACTGCAGCCTTTCGTAGAATTGGTCTTTAACGTCGTCATTGTAGTTGTTGGTAGGTGCATAACATTGGATGACGTTCATTGTAATGTCCTGTTTCTTTGTTTTGAAGTATGCTTTAATGATCCTGGGTCCATGAGATCCTCATCCTATAAGTGCCTTTTGTGCAAGTTTGGACAGCATCAGTGCAACTCCTTCTGTATGTGAAGCATTTCTTTCTTCATGACCAGAGTGTATCAGCAGTTCCCCTGAAGCTGGTCTCAGTTGTCCTACCTGTGTCCAATGCGTTTCACTGATGCCGAGCAGCCCGAGGTTGTATTTTTTCATTTGTGCCGCAACTTGAAATAGTCTTCCAGTCTCCCACAATGTACGACCGTTCCATGTACCTAAAAGAATGGTTGCTCTGGTTGTCAGAAGAGGCATCGTCCCCGTGACTTCCGAGAGAACTCGGCTTTCATCACGAGACGTCATAATTGTTCTTCCAACTCCCAGGGCAGAGTTAAAATGGTTTGAATTATTTTTTCTGGTTAGCGTTTTTTTGGCAAGTTAGTTTTTGACGGAATGGGGTCGCCAACCCCATGTCCAACCCTCCTGCTTTATCCGGGCTTGGGACCGGCAGTAGCCCCTAAGGTTCTACTGGCGAAGTTAATCCTCTATCATTTATTATATTTATTTGCAACACCCTCTATATGTCTTCGCTTTCAATCACTCCCTCATGATGAAACATAACCTCTTTTTACTGTTATAAGTATGTATAGTTTACAATTATTTCGATATTTGAAATACTATAGCTTGTTTGTAACTGATTAGAACCTTCTTAAATAGAAAGAATTGGCTTTTATCTGCCTAGTTCGTTTTTCTTGCTCTCTTCAAGTTAATATCGGAAGGTAAATGCTAGAAA